CGTTATCAACTATACCCAATGCAAAAGGGTAAATTTGAATGTTGGCATCTTGACATGTAGCAATAATCAACTGGCCTTGGTATTTGGATTTCAGAGTTGTACCGTCGATTAGAATTAGGGGTCGTATAGCATTTCGAAATCCCCGAATACATTATCCAAGAGCTATAAAGAAGAATTTGAAGCAGTTATCGGCCTTCGTCTCAATAAAAAATGTCGAGCCAGGATTAGTTTTCTTCATGTTATGACAATACCTGGCCAATTTAGCATAGCTTTCCTCTGTCGAGCCCATTAAATCCTCCAATGCGCATTCTTTGGCCTTCCAGGCCTTCTGGTAGGTCATGACTACTCCGTACTCTCGACGAACATCGTTAATGATGTCCGATGATCTATAGATTGTCCGTGGACCCTGATACTTGTACATTATCTGTCGACCAATAAACCAAGCTCGGGCTTGCCTATGATCATTGTGACAAACTCCCACTTTACAAGTATGTTCTCGTGTATATTTGTGAATTACAAGGCACTCATTCGTGTCCATCTTCTTTGCTCACAAACTCCAACTGCAACTATCATTTACGCATGATAGCGTCAACAACGACCTATTCGATTTTTTCACTCTAAATTCAAAGTTGTATTTCAGTGCAATTAGGTGCACGGCTTCTTGCAACTCTTTCTTCGTTTCAAACGGTTACTCGACATACAAATTCTCATTATCAGGAACCACACGTGAGGAGTTAGAGGACGATCCACTCAATCTAGCCCCCGAGGTGCCACCCCACTCATGTCTCTGCCGGGATAAACCAACCAAGTCCTCGTTTGTAAAAGTGTTTACATTTTCATTCTCGTTGTCACGAGTAGCGAAGGGAATTCTGTGTGCAACTATAACTGGAATAACCACATCATCTTCACGAGCTATCTCCACTGTATCCCAAAAATCATTAGCATTGTGATCCCCACCTCCCGAGTCTATTTGTTCATTTTCGACAACATCATTCCTTACTAAAGTCACGCAAAGAGGAGTCGTGTGCTTATTGTTCAGTTCAATCAGATAATTTACTTTATCAACAGAAGAAATCATTATACGTGGAATCGAAACTGATGCATGCTCGCTAAATTTAAATTTCAATTCCATGTTGTATTGAGAATGATCAACGTTCAACTTATTCTGTAAATCATTATAGAGTTCTGCATACGATGTACCTGATGATATGGAAATTGCGAGACCACCACGTTTATCACTTGTCCATTTCCATACTCATTGATTTTTTTCATCCAATAACTTATTTTGTAAATCATTATAGAGTTCTGCATACGATGTACCTGATGATATTGAAATTGCGATACCACCATGTTTATATTGAAATTGTGATACAACCATGTTTATCACTTGTCCATTTTCATACCCATTTATTTTTTTCATCCAATTCGAAATCACCAAAGTAACAAATTGGGACTACAACCATATCTGTATGTCAAAATAGAATTTTTAATTACAAGAAAAATATCAACAGCAATAAAAATGACTCAAAAAGGGGGGAAGAAGAAAATAGTTGGCAAACTGCCAACCGGCTGTTCAAACAGTCGATTCACCGACGCCGGCATAATATGCAGATGAATTTTTTCCGGTCAAATACTTCAAAAATTACAGATCTATTACATTTTTTTCTACTAATCATTAAATGTCAAAATACAATTTATCGATTTAAACATACAATAATTTAACGTAAATAGTCGGTGAAACAGTCGATTCACCAATGTCGGCATATTATGCAGATGAATTTTTTCCGGTCAAATACTTCAAAAATTACAGATCTATTACATTTTTTTCTACTAATCATTAACTGTCGAAATACGATTTATCGATTTAAACATACAATAATTTAACGAAAACAAGATTAAATTTGCGTATATAAACTTACCGATCTGACGAGATTGATGTCCACAAATTTTTCGACTTCTGATTTCGATAAATTTTTAAGTTTCTATAGTTGAAGCAGATGAATGATGAGAGTGTTTTATTTATCTGTGTTGGAGCATACAGATAAGAAATATAGGAAGTGTTTGATTTTTATTTGTTAAGTGAAAGGGTATTCTTATCTTCTTAAAAATGTGACATGATATGTGATAAGAGTTGCCACTACGCTCACGTGGATTGTCCTGAACATGCTGAATATGTTAAGAACGTGATTATTGATGCTGCACAAATGAATTGTGCAATTTTGGTGTTTTATCACTTTTTTTTAAATTTGTGTCACTTTTTTTGAATTTTGTCAATTTTTTAGTATTTGTGTCACTTTTTTCTGAATTTTGTCACTTGTTATGAATTGTGAAAAAAGTGACATAATGTCACTTTTTAATTTTACACAGTTTTTTTTTTTTTTTTACTTCCAAAAAACTTTTCATATGATTTTTCAAAACATTCCTAATTTTAAGGGTATTTTTGTAAGTTTCCTTGACCAGGTTAATTTTAAAAGTACCCCGGTTTAATGGTTGCTGTAAATGATTTATTTTCATTCATTTGTACGTATATTTTACCGTTAAATAAAAAGATTAACGAAAATTTATTTTTTAAGTGTATTATTCAATTTTAGTGATTTTGGGCAGTATTGGGCCTAATTTCCTCATCTTTAAATGGGAAAGTAATCCAAGGCCTGTTTAAGCCACTAGAACGGAACAATCAGGCCTTCTTAATTTTTCAAGTTTTCCCACTTTTTTTAATATTGATTGAAATTTCCTATTTTTATATCCATTTAAAAAATAAATAAATTATTAGGGATAAAAGGATAGTCGTCTTGGATTTCGTACAACAGTTAATGCTCTCCGAGCCATCTCACGTTAAGGTCACTTTAATTTTCTGCCAATGAACCCAAATTATTTCTGAAAATAATCACAATTTACAAACATCACGACCCATAATTTTCGGGAAAAGAAAAAGAAGAAGACGAGGACGACGAAGAAAAGGTTGCAATGAGAACACAATCGTTACACATCGAGCATGAAAAGTTAAAAATTAATTCACATTACGAAAAATTTAACCACCAATTATATCATTTTTCTAGGAACATTAAGTCTTTGATCCTGATCACATTTCTAAAATAACAATATTAAATGCTGTAGTAATTTAGAATGACAATATGGTCCCACTTAGATGCTCAATGATAACGTATATGTGTCAATTTCAGTGTTCTAAAAGTCGTAATGCGTTGATGTCAAGTTAAGGGCAATGCGAGATTAGGTAAATGAGTAGAAAAAGGTTTTCTTATTTTAATATTATTTTAAATTTTTAATAAAAAAACTATTTAATAATTATAAATTATTTAATAATTATAAGTTTTAACTTCAAAGAATTGTTAAAAAAAAAACAAAAAAAAACTAATAATGCGTGCCAACCGTACCTAGGCGCGCATTGGAGCCTTAGCCTTGCCTCGCATCCGTTGACCGTCAAATAAGACGCCAAACAAAGTGCTTGGCGCCTTAGTCTTGTTGTGCATCGATGTGTTATTTAGAACACTGGTTAGTTTAGACATTGTCAAATAATCTCAACCTAGTTAAGGTTAATGACCTGACTAGAGAATAAGACTCCACCAATTGTTAAGAGTTCGTGGCGCTTTTCTTTAATTTATGCCGAGGAAGTATATTTTTTAGACTTGCTTTAGCTGCCCCCAACGAGAAAATGTTTACAATCGCCCTTTTTAGATGACATTCTCATCTGACTATAGAACTAATTTCCGTGCACCTCAAAAATCTAAATAGTTCTTGATGTCAATAAATTCTATCACCTCTCTTTTCACGATTTTTGATGCAACAGATTCCTTGTTACCTACTGGTGGGGGATATGAATAGACAGAATTACATACCTATGAAAAAATATTGTATATACAGTGAAACATGATATTACTTACTCAAAGATCGTGGTGATATTTGATCTAGTTCGATTGACATTCAACATGTTTGGTAGGGATTAAAAGCTGATTAAAATCAATTTTTTGACCGTTATTTTACTATTTCAGTCGTCATTTTTGAATTCTTCTTTTATAGATAGGATCCACTTTATCTCTAACGGTCAAAAAATCAATTAACAAAATCCTTACCAAACAATCACAATGTCAATGCCTAGTTAATGTTGAGCCAAATAATGTGAACCGATATGGATGCAACATAATTGAAGGAAAATTGACCTATATAATTTTGACACACTTGCATAAGTTTCAATAAGCTTCTATTTCTAAGTTCATGTTTGATTGAGCTAAAGTTTTCCGGAACTTGGAATTCCAATTTCAAGTTCCACAAATTGCATGTTTCCAGCCACGTAGACTATTTTTTTTGGAAATCTTACTACATGTACACTATGTGTATATTTTAGTTTATATTTTGTCACGTGTCATTATTTTATTGAACAGTTTAAATTTTAAATAATTTTTCATCCAATTGACACTTGATAACAATATAAGTGTTAAAAATCAGTGTACAAATAGTAAAAACGATTTTTGGTTTTGTGGGAGGGAATTGATTTTTAGGCACTATTGACATTTTTTTTTTTTGATAATGGAAACAAACGCTATCCTAATTGTAAAAAAAAAAAATATTTTCTTTTAATCGACAATTTTCATGTAAAACAAAGTCAAACGAATACCAAAAGATAGATGATTCTCTTGGCTTTTTTTTGTTTTTGTTTTTGGCAATGAAAACAAATTTCATCCAAAAAATCAGTAAATTCTATCTCTTTAATTGATAATTTTCATATGAAATAGAGCCAAACGAATACCAAAAAATACTTTTATTTCAACATTTTTCACATGAAAAATCATACCAATCAAATAAAATAATTTATAATTTCTAGGAAAACAATTTTTAGGTAATTCATTTCCTTGGAATTCATTTTTTTTCCACCCAAATTTCATCTTTACAATCCCTAAGAATACAAGAAGTGAAAAATATTCTAAATTTCTAATACGACAACGTTGGTTCAAAATTGAAGAAGAATCATACTTGTAGTCAGCTATAGTATTTTATATTACATTATTTTCTCGTGGAAATAAAAGCGCATTTGCACTTCAGTCAGACATTTTATCAAACACCTTTTCCTCAATATACGTTCTTTACCTTCCATCGAATCTTCTCCTCAATAATGTTTCGGTCAACAATTTGATTCTACAAAAGATGAGAAGAAGATTTACAAGGATATCTGCCCTTTTTCCTGCAATTCGTAACTGTGTCAAATTTGAGCACACATCATCATATTTCAATCAGCATATACAATTTCCGACTCGAAATGCCACTACATTTACAAGTACCCATCTTTTAAAACCCTCGCGTTATATGGTTCCTATCAATAATTTTTCCATCACCAGGCCCTTCTCAACCAACAGCGACCAAGAGTGTTCTAGTGACACGGAATATGAATTTGAGCGTCATGCCGATGGTGAAAAGCTTGGAGATTTTAAAGGGGTAACGAACCTGGATTCTTTAGATGATTTAGAAACTATTATGGCAATTTTACGAGCAGGTGGTGTTCAAGAGAAGAGTAAAAACCTGGAAAAATGTGGAGTGATGGTTACGCCGGCGATAGTGTCTAATGTTCTTTCTCGGGTTCGAAATGATTGGGAAACTGCGTTTACCTTCTTTTTGTGGGCTGGAAAACAGCCCGATTATGCTCATTCCATTAGGGAGTATCATTCAATGATCTCCATTTTAGGGAAGTTTAGGAAGTTTGATACTGCTTCAGCTTTGATCAATGACATGAGAGCTGCATCTTTACTAACTCCACAGACCCTTTTGATAATGATCAGAAAATATGCAGCTGTGCACGATGTAGGCAAGGCAATCAGTACTTTCTATGCGCTTAGACGGTTTAAATTCGAAATTGGAATGGAGGAATTCCAAGGTTTGCTTTCTGCTCTCTGTCGATACAAGAATGTGAAGGATGCTGAGCATTTGCTCTTCTGTAACAAAAGCTCTTTCCCTTTGAATACCAAGAGCTTCAATATTATACTTAATGGATGGTGCAATGTGGTTGGTGATTTGCGCGAGGGTAAACGAATTTGGAGGGAGATGGAGGAGAGAGGGATTATGCGCGATGTTTACTCTTATGCTAGTATAATGTCTAGCTATTCGAAAGCTGGTAATCTTAATGCGGTTTTCAGGCATTTCGACCAGATGAAGGCTCTGGAAATTGAACCAGATAGGAAAGTCTACAATGCCGTGATTCATGCTTTTGCAAAAGGGAGGCTTGTGAAAGAAGCTCGCATTCTCATGAAAACAATGGAAGAGAAGGGAATTAATCCCGACACCATCACTTATAACTCGCTCATCAAGCCTCTTTGCAAGGCACGATTGTTTGATGAAGCCAAAGAAGTTTTTAATGAGTTGATAGAGAGAGGCCTTTCCCCGAGTACTCGAACTTACCATGCTTTCTTTCGGATTTTAAGGACTGGGGAAGAAGTGTTTCAGCTTCTCGATAGGATGCATATGGAATGCCATCCGAGTCATGATACGTATATAATGTTGATCAGGAAATTTTGTCGTTGGCGCCAGCTGGACAATGTCATCAAGCTGTGGACTGAGATGAGCAAGAACGGACTTGACCCTGATCGAAGCTCGTACATTGTGCTGATACATGGGCTCTTTTTGAATGGGAAATTGGAGGAGGCTTATAAATATTACTTAGAAATGAAGGAAAAGCATTTGTTGACAGAACCAAAAATTGATGAAATGCTTCAGGCTTGGTTGCAAGCGAAGGCTGATTCAGGGCACCATGCGACTGAATCAACACACAGTCAATCAAATTGTAGTCAGTTAGGACCAAAGGACAGAGTAAAGTCCAAGACATATGATAGGAACATTGACTTCCGTCGACAACCGGAAACAAAAAGCATTACCAGAGAGAGAGGCTTTTCTTTTTGTGATAGTTAAGTAGTGATCTTGACTCTGTGGTCCTTGAGCAACCATCCTTTTGAGCAACACGAAGAATTATGTGCAGGTGCATTACATCTTATACTAACATGTTTGGTGTTTAAATAAGCTTTCTTTTTTATTGTTTGATGGTATTCATGGTCATTTTAAATTTGTTACATACATATTTTTGCTAATTTTGATCCCATAAACTGCAAAAGCTGTTTATATTTTGATTTCTAACCCCGCTTATTCGAACAACTTAACCCAAATAAATGTTTTGCTAAATATACGAATTCAATTCAAATCTGTTAATTAGGGAAATCAAGCCATTTAAAATGAGTTTCATGTATGTTTTGGTTTATCTTTTTGTATCCAATAAGCAATAAGCATACACTTAACCTGGTAGCTCTAAGCTTGAATGTAAGCGATACATCCGTAAGTTTATTGGGTTATAGTTTAATGCTTATTTCAATCGTTCGGCTATTCCGTTTATAGTTCTTATCATAGTATTGTGGTCCAGTGATCCTGTCATAGTCTCAAATGAGTGTCATTAAGATATTTTGGCATTTGTAATGAGGAGTCAGCCATATTGAAACATGCCCGATTACTTTGTCCTTACCCAGATTCCCATTTACATCATCAGAAACGAAATGACAGGAAGAGACATTTTGGCTGTGGGTTAGAGAATGTTGTGTGCAACAATAATTTCGACACATTTCCACCGTCTCAATTACATGTATCTTGATAGTGTTATATTCTTTTAAAACCATTAGTCTTGCAATTATTTTACATTGTTCTTCATCACAAATTTCTGAAGGCAAAATATTGACTTCAACACTATAGTTTATGTTTTTATTAGTAGAATGGTACAAGTGTATATTTTTACATTTTGGACCATTTAAAACACTTATATAAGACTAGTCGTTCCTTCTTGTTTGTGTTAATTTGCATTATTTGTTAGGTGTTTTTTTTTGCGTCAATTTCCATTATATGTTTTCACATGTTTTCCACTTACTATTTTGTACTTTTCTTTTCCGTTTAGCCTTATTAAAGCAATTCTTGAAAAATTATATCTGATTATGTGCATGAAATGTAATAGAATTTTATCATAAATTACAACTCTTGAGTGAGAGAGATTATCCTTGAGCTGGAAAATTAATTAATATTTAGTTGATTGATTTGATTGTTTATTTTTAGGGTGATTAGATAAGATATGCACATAGTCAGGCCTGATCTCCTATCTTAGTGGACAGGAGTTTTTATCTTGCACACTGTATGCAAGATAACAACAATTTCATGCACATGGTATAGGAAGGATTCCTTGATCAATGTGTTTTTGATGAGTTGTTTATCAATCATAGAGTTCGATTAATTAGACTTGAACGAAGTTTAATTATAATAATGGCTGTCAAGTTTATCCCCAACAACTCAAGCTTGTTTCCCATCTTCGAACTGCTTGCGTATTTGGTCCGCTATAGGGGAGATTACTGGACTGGCCATTCAAGAAGAAAAATAAGTTAAATCATATTTATTCTATTGTGGGGAGTTGGTTATTGTCCAACACTGTATACCGAATGTGATATTAATGTGTAGAAAGAACAACACACAATATTGTTTAGTTCGACTTCTGACATAACATATCACTAACCAAAAATCAAGGAAAAAATATGTACATTCATTGGTCATTATGTACATATAAAATGCCCTTAATCAATTAATCAATTATTTAACAACATATCATAGATATTAACCCATTAATATAATCCTTTTGTGGTACGTAAAGGACATTTTCTAATCCTCCATTCCAAATCCTCCCAAAAAAGTTGGGTCCAAAAGCTCCATTGAAAACGATGAACTTGGACTGCTAATACTTGAAAATCCATCTCCACGTTCTAATGTTCTTTGTATCTCCTTTTCAGCTTCACAAATTTGTCCCTTCAGCGTTAATACCTGCACATGATAATCATTGTAAGTACGTAGTACTGGATGGGATATCATTTTATAAGTATGTAGTACTAGACAGAATTGAGAACAATAGAGAGAGACGTACCTCATTCTCGAGCCTACATTTCTCTACCTCAGTGCAGTCATGTTCAGCCTTCAATTTCGAGTACTCTTCCTCCAATACTTGCTCCTCCACCGAGCTCGCCTATTCTGAAACCAAAACGCTACCTGGCGGGGGTCGAGTCTGAGTTCAAATGCAATTTTCTCCTTCCTCTCGGACTTCAATTTCTGTTCTTTTCCAAAACTCATCTCCAACATATTCACTTATTCTTGGCTTAACTTCCTCTTCCCGACCGCCTCACTTCCGCTTCCCTTTGCCCTTCTTTCGTCCACTCTTCCTCCGAGGTTCCTCCACCCCTAAATATCATAAAAAACTTCTAGTTTATACAGAGTACTTGAAAATAGTGATAAAAGATACACTATGTACGGTAAAATTAGAAGAGTACTTAATCATGTCGACGTTAGTGCAATACAGTCCAATCGAACATACTACAAACAAGACAAGGCTACATAATCAAATGCATGAATTTATAATCTTTTCATGGAAATAGTTCTAACCTTGCTCTTGGACCATTTGGCTGTATTTTTCAGGATAGTACTGAGAAATCAAACTCATTTGATCATCGTAAAGGTTCATATTTTCTGGGGTGCCAAGTTCACAGGACTTTTACTTATAAGCTGGAGTAATAGAGAATGTGGAGTGAATTTGGGACTTTGATGCTTTATTTATAGAGCGGTCATTTGAAAGAAACCTTGGTGTCTTCGGAATTGTCAATGATGCCATTTGTCTGAAGTATGAAAACATTGATTCAGTTAATGTATCATGCGGAGTTTAACAATTTCTCGTGTCATTCAAAGTCTTTTTCTATCATGTTAAGATTTTCCAAAAGTGTCCGAATTCAAAAGACAAATATAATATGAGAGGAACTATGGAATACATGAGTAATTTTGTTTAGTATATCACATCAAATATGTCCATCGGATACCAAGTATTACTAATCACCAAACGATTCGATCGAATAATTCTACTTGTACATAAGTAGTTACATAATGATTTATAAATGATGTGTCAAAAAAAAAGTATGTAAGTTTTTTTTTTTTTTTTTTTTTTTAAAAAATTATTCAATCATATATCACTACTTCATGTGCATGTAACCCATTACGTAAACATATTATATACATATAGCACAATCATTCAATTATTTTCATTTTCTTGAAAGTTTGTGTTCGGTGCTTGGTGGTGGCATATGATGCCCAAAGATTTTGGATTTTTAGTTTGTGAAAGTAACTAATACCCTCATTATTAAAGTCTCACGATTAACTAATTAAGTACTAACTAGTCTATTATAGGCTAATTGAGTAACTAATATCCTTTATCAGGATCATTAATTTTTAAAATAATTTTTAAAATGGATATTGTTATCAAGAAAAAAAGTATATATTTTTTTTTTTTTTTTTTGCTGAAGAAATTCTGATTCAATCATATATCACTACTTCATGTGCATGTAACCCATTACGTAAACATATTATATACATATAGCACAATCATTCAATTATTTTCATTTTCTTGAAAGTTTGTGTTCGGTGCTTGGTGGTGGCATATGATGCCCAAAGATTTTGGATTTTTAGTTTGTGAAAGTAACTAATACCCTCATTATTAAAGTCTCACGATTAACTAATTAAGTACTAACTAGTCTATTATAGGCTAATTGAGTAACTAATATCCTTTATCAGGATCATTAATTTTTAAAATAATTTTTAAAATGGATATTGTTATCAAGAATAATTATCAACCAAAACTGTTAAAAAAGATTGTACAAGGAACATGATTGTTGAATTAATACCATAAAAAATCGAGAGTTTATTTGATCTTTAATAATATGAGGGTAATAGGAGGTTAGTATATTCTTGATCTCTTTGTGAATATTAACTAGTCTAACGGCCAAGATACAAGACTTTAAGACATATTTGGTGAATTAAGTTTGGCCAACCTCATCTGTATATACTCTACATGTGATGGTCTTTGACGGTAAATAGAAATTCAATTTAACTGGGAAGCAATGTTTTGAAGTTAATTCAAATAAACAAATTTCTACTCATATGAAAAATATGTGTTGCTTTCTTCTGCAACTCTTAGCTCGGCCAATTCATTCGATCATCAAGATGGTCGAGTTGAGCTCGTGATGCAGGAAAGGAAACAAACTAAAATAAATTAAGTATTCCTCATTGATGGAAGCCACCAAAAAATAATAAAAGAAAAAGGAAAAAAATTGAAGACGACAATTTTTTTTTTTTTTTTTTTTTTTCACTTTAACAATTAAAAAGGCATCTTTCAACTCAAACGTTTGACTTCAATTTAATTCTCCCATCTTCCTGACTTAGGCAATGTGAAAAATACCTCGGATATTTGAGCATGTTCGGCTGAGCTTTAAATACATTTTTATTTCCAAACTTATTTGAATGAATTAGTTTTCCTTACACCAAGAAAAGAGTTGCTTAGTATAAAAATAACTAGTATGTTCATAGTATTGTTTAAGCTAATTGTATATTTTTAAATTCAAACACGTATGACACATGTCACATTTAGTACGAATATGACTAAATATAATTAAAAGAAAATTATTACCAACTTAACATTCATGGATCTTATCCAAAAGAATGCTTCTACACGTACATAAAGAATTTTGACAGAATATATACATGCAACTCACAGTTCTGGGGTCCACACACATTTTTGGCATTTTTTATACAGCATGGGGCCCACACACTTGTTTCTATTCTGGTGGAATTCTATGAAAAAAATTCTGTACAACCAGTTGTTTTCTATCCAAAATCTAACATCTAATCGCATTAAAGTAGGATTACCTAACCTTTAATTACAAAATCGAGAAATCAGTATATCTAATCAATTATCAAAAAGGTCAATAAATAAATAAATTGCCAATTTTATGATGCAAATCAACTTTTTTAACGCATACTAAACATACACTTAAAACAAAAATAGGATATAAAATTAATTCTTTTTTTCAGCCACTTCTAGAGTCACTCATTGTAAACTAATAATGTTAACTATGGAAGTCTACTTGAGTTTGGCTTTCTTGAATGAGGTATACTAAGTAGAGAGTGTACCCCCCACCCCACCCCACACACATCCCCATGCACACATGTATGTCTTATTTAGTACAAACATAATTAAATATGATAACAAGAATATTATGACTGCACGTAACATTCATTTATCATATCCGAAATCGAATACCTAAACCATGCTTTTGCCATACAAGCATGTCGCAATACAACTGAATATTTTATAACCCATACTAAACACACACTTAACACGAGACAAAGATATGAAACTAGTTCTCTTTTTCAGCCACCTTTGGAGTCACATTGTAACTCAGGAAGTCTACTTGTGTCTAGCTTTCTTGATTGGGGTATATTAAACAGAGAGGCACCTTACACCCCCACAAACACACATATATGTGTATTGTGGTGTAATTGGCTAGGTTAGGATTGAGATCCCAAAGCTGACCACCTAAAATTGATTAAGAAAATAGTTGGGTTGGCGCCCCCCGAGGCACATCCAAGTTGGCAAAGGAAGGACAGTGCGGGGCTCGCAACCCCAGCGTGGGGAGTTCTATTCCTGGTTGGAGCAGTTGAGTGTTGTAATAATCAGAGGAAAGGTTGGAGCAGCTTGGTGATGTAATAATCATGGAGGAGGCTCCCTTGGAGTCAGGAGTATAAAGGCTGTTCGAACCCTGGTCAACTTGAGCACATCCCGCGATTTACCTCCCTGAGCTGCTGAGGGGCCGGAAGTTCAGGGACGAGGATATAGTCTGGCGTAAGCTGGGACATCTCGTTAAAAAAAAAAAAAAAAAAAAAATGGAAATAGTTGGGCTGGCGGTTGGCCTCTGGATTTGGACATGCAAAACAACTTTTGTTGTTCAATATAAGGTGGTATTCTCCTCTTTCCATGCCTAGCAGTCTCGAGACAAGGTACTAGTATTAGAGTAAAAAATTTCACTAGGTTTGACACCACATTTTGAAAAATGATTGAAAATTGAAAGGAATGTATTCATATTTTTAAAATGGGCGAAAATAACTTTATAAATATTTCAATTCCTTGCTAGATCCAAACATTTTCTTCTTTTTCTTATTAAAGAAAATTATTTGTTTCTCAGACTCAACTCAATCCCAAACTGATTGAACATTCGTCGACATCTTACCATGAATATTGTCAACGTGTCGTCTCCATGCCTCGTTTTGCGTGAGAAAATATTCCAAATTGACTCAAACTGATGGGTCATTTTCTTTTCCATTGTCCTTTTGCTCTTTCCCTTCTTGTGAATTTTCAATTCTATTGTCGAAAAATGAGTCTCTTGTTTCAGGGGAAACAAAAGGGTGAAGAAGTTGCTGAGAGAGTGAAGATTTAGGGATTTGCTCCAAATTATATTTGAATATGAAATTTGTGAAAAAGAAGAGGAAGAAGAACATGATAAATTATTGTTTTTTGAATTACATGGAAAAACGTAAAGTTCTTATTTTATATATTCTCTTCTCTCTTTCTCTCTCTCATATATATATGGGAATGATTTTCTAAACATCAGTGTTTAGCTTATGTTAAGTACCGATCATATTGACACATCATTTAATTGGTAAATTATTAAATATATGGGACCTACCATTAACTTATTCACCAATTAAATGACGTGCCTTTTTGTATATTGAAAGTCCTCATGCATATATTCGTTCAGTAAATATAATTTTTTAGGGAGCCAATTGTTAATTGATTGTTGGAGAAATGTTGGAATTGTTAATCCATAAATGTGGAGGATTAGACGTTTTATAATTGTTTTTGTCATTTTGAATGTCAATATTTTCAAGCATTTTCGAATTTAGTGGACATAAAATGTTGAAATTATGTGCCATTAACATATTGAGATTTGAATTAATGCTTCGGTATTGTGGTTGAACTTTGAATATGAAATATAGAATTTCTGGAGGGGTCAAGGAATTTTTAACTAAGTTTGTAAACAATCTCAAGTTTGATTGGGGAATTAACGAGTTTTTGCCAAGTAAACTATTGAATTTTGTAGACAACTAGTCAGTTTAGAATGTCAAATCTTGAGTTTGCTGTTAAAATCTTGAGCATGCAGTCCAATTCTCGAGTTTGCTGTGCAAATCTCGAGTATGTTGGACAAATCTCAATTATGCTCAACAAATCTAGAATTTACTTGAAAAATCTTGAGTTCGATGTTAAAATTTGGAGTTTGCTCAACTGTCTAACTTGAAGTTTGCATAAATTTTTGTTTACAACTTCAAATTGCATTTCTTCTTTCTCTTCCATTTTTTTTTTTTTTTTTGGTTACATTGAACTCTAGATTCAATTATCTATGGTATAATATTTTTCATTGGGATATCTGTGTAAAAAATTGTGCACTAAGTTTCTCAGATGTTCGCATTTATGTTTCTCATTGCCTCTTGTGGTCCTTTTATGTCCAAATTTCATTTTTTTTCCAGATCTATCATCTTCAAATTCGAGATTTAGTGCTTGTTTGATAGGAATTTTGATAATTGATTTTTTGACTGTTAGAGATAAAGTGAGCCCTACTTGTGAAAGAAGAATTCAAAAATAACGGCTGGAATAGTGAAATAACGATGAAAAAATTGATTTTAATTGATTTAAAATCTGTACCAGACAAGCATTTAACCTGTAAAAGCAAATTACACTATATTAAATAGAAGGGTAATTAGCACAAAACATCCCTACCTTTCGATATTTTTGTGGAAAACATCCCTACCTTTCATTTTTTGACGGATTACACCCTCACCTTTACCTTTTTTTGCGCAAAACGTCTTTCTGTCAACTCTCTGTTAAAATGCTCCGTTAAATCAAAAGGTAATTAGCACAAAAGGTCCCTAACTTTCAAAGTTATTGTGCAAAACGTCCATACCTTTTAATTTTTAGCATAATTAGCACAAAAGGTCCTTACCTTTCAATATTATTGTGCAAAACGTCCTTACCTTTCAATATTATTGTGCAAAACGTCCTTACCTTTCATTTTCAGCATTTTCACCCATTCATTTCATCTTTCATTGCGCAAAAGGTCGTTTTCATCCATTTTTCCAATAAAATGACGATTTTACCCTCCTATTGAAATAAAACAAAAAGAAAAGAAAAAAATAATTAATTAATTACAATCATAGTTCTAAATCTTTCAAAACATTACGGATAAATCCTAAATTCTCCATTACCATCACTTTCACAACCCCACCAAGCCATCACCTATAGATCCATATAGCATCACTTTTCGACCACAACACCTATCGGACTCCACCACCACCACCAACCTCACCTCACTCTCCACAATATCCTCCTCCATAATATTGGTCACCAATCTGTCCGAAACAACCACATTTACGGTGGTGGAGTCCGATGGGCATGGTGGCTGAAAGGTAGTGTTATGTGGATTTATAGTTGGCAACTTGATAGGTTGTGAAAGTGGTGGTGGTTGAGAATTTATGATTTCTTTGTAATTTTTTAAAAATTTAAGGACTATGGTTGCAGTTGGTAATTCATCTTTTCTTTTTGTTTTATTTGAATAGGAGTGTAAAATCGTCATTTTATTGAAAAAAAAATGGATGAGAAGGACATTTTTTGCAATGAAAGGTGAAAGGTAGGGGTGAAAATGCTAAAAAATGAAAGGTAGGGACGTTTTGCACAATAATATTGAAAGATAGGGACCTTTTGTGCTAATTATGCCAAAAAATGAAAGATAGAGACGTTTTGTACAATAATATTGAAATGTATGGACCTTTTGTGCTAATTATATTTTGATTTAACAGAACATTTTAACGAAAAGTTGACAGAAGGACGTTTTGTGCAAAAAAAGGTAAAGGTGATAATGTAATCCACCAAAAAATGAAAGGTAAGGACGTTTTCCACAAAAACATCGAAAGGTAGGGACGTTTTGTGCTAATTACCCTAAATAGAAAACTGCTCAATTAACTACAAAATTCACATTCTACATTTTAAAGTTTCTATGAAATTCGAGATTTCAACACCTTTCAAACTTCCTTGAATCATGAATTTAAGTGCCTATCTTAGGGAAAGTGCGACATAAAACAAAATATCATGTCTTTAATTCAAAAAAGTTTAACTTTGATTGCTTGGGGGAAGTGGATAGAATTGACTACCCTTCACTTCAAAAGGTCATTCTGCTTTCTTGTGAAGTTATTCCGTAAAACAAGCCAACTTGACCTTGAAAAGAACATTTTGATGTGTTCATGTAACCTTTTACTTGTGCAAAATGATATGTTATCACATAATGCGAGCAAAAGTCATCTGACTTTTCTTTTCAAATATCAGATACACTTCCTAACGCTTAGAAAATCACATAATAAATTCTAGAGACAATATTAGTGACATCTCATAGAGTGACTTTCATAAACGTGAGGGAGTGCCTCGATATTTTCACAAAGCTTAAGGAGCTGGTAACTATTATATTATTTTTAATTTCTGTTATTCAATTAATATTTATATTTACATATGAGGTAAGCGAAGAATGATTTAAATATTCGTGATGGAATCGTAAAAAAAAAAAAAAAACGATAGAGCAAATAACGTATAGTTTGTTGTGATTCAAATTAGGGTGAATTTTTTTTTTTGAAAATAAATGTTTTCCTTATTCTCATGTGGGAAATTTGTTTCCTTATATTTCACATGATTTTTATGAAAATATATTATTTCCTTATTTCACATTATTTCCATCTTTATGCTATGTCATGTAAATATAAGTAGTGATCTTGTCTTTCAGTTTTGTTAAAGCAAGAATTGTTAAGTTCTTGTATTTCTTTCCATATTGTCGATTAATAAAATGTCGTCCTTCAGTGATTAACTCTCTTTGTTAATTTCTTTATTTTTAAATCTTGTTTCTCGTTGCAATTTTCATTAATTCATATTCCGTCATTAATCTCATTCACTACAATCCTTCCAGGTCCAACAAGTGGTATCAGAGCTTAATTCTTCTTCTGAGGATTGGTTGAGGTTTTTTCAGAGATGACTACAATGAAGTATGACATTTCGCTGTCGGATCGCAATACAAGGTTTTCTTTATGGCAAGGAAAGATGAGGGTTATTTTGACATAGTTGGATTTGGATGATGTGTTGCTGGATTTTGAGAAGATGACAACTAATTGGGCAACGGAGGAGAAACAACAGAGGCATCAGAAAGTTTTGTCGTTGATTCATCTTCATCTATCCATCATTATTCTGCAAGATAGCTTGAATGAGAAAACAACAGCTGCTTTGTGGTTGAAGCAATTATGTAAGACCAAGACACTTACCAGTAAACTAGCTCTAAAGTAGAAATTGTATTCCTATTGCATGACCGAAGGAGGGCTGTTGGAAGATCATATTGTCGTATTCAAGGAAATTGTTGCAGATTTAGAAACGTTGGAGGTTAAGTACGATGAAGAGGATCTTACCTTGATCCTGTTATATTCGCTGCCTGACTCTTATGCATCGTTTCGGGACACCATTTTGTATAGTCGGGATACTTTGACCATAGAAAATGTTTACGATGCTTTGCACTCAAATGAGAAGTTGAAGCATTTGGTTGGAGTTACATTGAGGGATATTTTTACGATTAATTCTTTCACTGTTCAGAATCGTCAAATGGGAAGGATGGTGGCAATCGATAAATGAGATGGTGGATTATATGTCCTGGGGCATGAATATCCCACATTTATTTTTGATCTTAATAATAAGTCGTAGCATGCCTCATATGATTTGTGGCATGTTTGCCTTGGACATGTGAATCACTCCATTATCTCTTTTCTAAATAAAAAATGTCCATATTTATCTTGCATCTTTATTGCCTTCTCCAACGCTTTGTAATAGATGTCAAATTGCGAAAAATCATCTTTTGGCTTATTTGCGTAATGAAAAGCGATCGTCTAATGTGTTGGATTTAATTCATTGTGACATACCTTCCACCATCAAATCCACTTTAGGTTTTGTTTACTATGTTGTCTTTATCGATGATTTTTATCTCTTCACTTGGCTATACCCTTTTGCGTTTAAAATCTGACTTTTACAATATTTTCCTTCACTTTAAAAAACTTTTGGAAAATTAATGTTTTGCACGTATAAATTTTTTTCAAAGTGATGGTTGTGGAGAATTCACTAGCAATCGTCTCCAAGGGCACCTCTGGCATCCGTCATCAATTATCTTGCCCATACACACCTGCTCTAAATGGTCACACCAAAAGGAAACATCATAATGAGATTGAGACCGGCCAGGCTCTTCTTTTTCACTCTCATATTTCTCCTCACTTCTAGGTCAAAGCCTTCAACACTGCAGTCTACATCATCAGTCGCTTGCCCACACTATTCTTTGGAAGTAAGTCCCCCTTTTGAGTTACTTTATGGTTCCTCTCTGAATTATGAAAATTTTCATCATTTTGGGTGTTGTGTTTACTCTAGTTTGTGTGATTATAAGTCTAACAAATTTTCTCTTCGGGGCATCCCATGCATTTTTATGGGACCATCTGTAGATTGTACATCACTCAATATGCACAGTTTGATAAACATCACTTTTTTCTTTAGAAACCTCTCTTGCTCAACCCATCTCATCTTTCCCATTTTCCATTTTTTTAAAACTCGGCTCATCCTGTACTGAAACATCTTCTCTTGAGCACTATTCTCCTTCCATCACTCTATTAAAATCTAACTCGTGTGTTCTTTGTACTGACCAGTGGATGAATCTGTACATGTTACTAACTTTATTACAAGCTCTTCTTTGGTACACTCAGCCATAGACCATGTTCTGTTAAGTTTGACGTCGGTCCTCAAGTTCATGATCTCACTCCAACTCCAACATTCTGGTATTTTCATAACTTGCCATTGGACGAATATTGGCTTCTTGGGCTTTTCTAGTCTTCTTCGTGTTTTTCTTGCCTCTATTGAGCCTCAAGGTTTCAAATCTACTGCAAAGAATCCTGCCTAGATTATTGCCATGGATGAAGAAATGCAAGCCTTACAAAACTACCACACCTGAAATTTAGTCCTTAAGCCTGTTAACACCAATATTATGGTCTCCAAGCGGGTGTTCAAGACCAAATATTTGTCTGATCAATCCATCAAGCATCTCAAAGCTCATCTTTTTTGCCAAGGGCTATACACATGTACTTGTTCTTGGCTACTATGATACCTTTAGTCCTATTATTAAGGCTTTTGCTATTCGCGTTGTGATTTCTATTTCTGTGACTGACAAATGACCCCTTCGCCAAATTGATGTTAAGAATGTGTTTCTCAATGGCGCTCTTATTGAGCATGTTTATATAGAGCGGCCTCTCGGATATATTGATCCTCCTTTCCTAATCATGTCTGCCAATTGAAGAAAGCCCTCTATGGTCCAGCACCTCAACTCCTTAATTATTCAGCTTGGATTTTCCTATAGTCAAGTTGACACATTGCTATTTGTCTTCCATAAGTACTTTGATATCATTTATTTGCTCTTCTATATTGATGATATTATTATCATTGGCAACAACTCATCTATCATCCGCAAATCCACCTGCAAACTTAATTCTAAGTTTGCCTCTAAGGATTTGGGTCCTCTTAGCTACTTCCTTGGCCTTGAAGCTTCGACAACAACATATGGTCTTTTTAACAGTCTAGAATATGCACGGGATATTATTACTCGAGCAAAGTTACTTGATAGCAAATAGTCTCACACCCCTATGGTTGTTTCTCAACACTTGTCTGCAAAGGATCCTCCGTTCTTGAATCCCACTCTTTACATATCTCTAGTTGGCGTCCTTCAATACTTGACTATTACGCGCCCCCATATTGCTCATCCTATCAACTTTGTCGACCAATTTCTACACGCTCCAACAACATACCATTTTTTTGTAATTAAGCGTATTCTTCGCTATATTGAAGGCCTTCATTTTGGCCTTATCTTCCGCTCCTCCACTATTCCTAGTGCTCTCATTGCTTGCTTCGATGCGGATTGGGCAAGATGCCTTGATACTCGGTAGTCTACCTTGGGTCCTTGGTTCTTAGAAATATACTTGTAATATTAGACCTGAGTATCAAATTATTATATACATTTTTTTCCTCAATAAGAAGTCTTTACTCCCAACAACATATTTCTAATTAATGACAATAGAATTAAGGTATAGTTGACATTTTAAAACAATTTTTTTTTTCAAAGCTAAGTTTATAGATATTATCATATGATCGTGAACTGAATTTAGATCTACTTACAGACACCGTCGGTGTGTAATATAAAATTAGCATAGTAAACAGATCAAACCTATAATTAAGAAGAATTTTATTATTATGTGCAATCGTATTTAACCCAATACAACAAAACATTACAAAATAAGTTTAGTATAATTATGCGTGGAAGTAAAGTTGAACAATAAAAAGAATAAGTGTTATAGCATAAGTTTTATCTAATATGCTATTCATTATACTTTAATATTGCATATCAAACATAATTAAAGGGGGTCTTGATATAAACAAACAAGTCTTCATGTTGGTGTATAAAGACATTATAGAGAAAATAAATAAATGATTTCTTAAAAATTTTCCACTAAAATCCTTTTTTGTTTTAAACATCTCACTCTTTTATACATGAAAAAAAATACCGGACCATTCTTAGGAATGAAGTAATCAATTTCTCTCTATTTTTTAAATTTAAATTTATTTTAATGATGAAAAATACGCGAATTATGTCTTTTAAATATTAAATAGTAATAGGAAGAGCACTCTACGAATAATATTTTGACATCTAATAAAGAAATAAACAAAATTCATTTCAATTAGAAAATCAAAAAGAATAAATGTGACGAGACCTATAATGGATATCGTTGTAGTTACAATGTAACTATTAATGTCATTTGACTGTGGCGGTCTAAAAGTTTTTATTAATGTAGCTTTTTCAAAAAATAAAAATAAAAATAAAAATAAAAAATAAAGATTGTTAACCAATTGAATGCATTAAACATTTTTCGTAATCATCACTGGGATCAAATTATTATTACTCAATTTATTGTATATCTTTATCATTCATAAAGATAAGGTATGGGAAGGATTCCTTGATGGTGGATGCTTTTGATGGCTTAATTAATTATTTTAATTAAAGCTGAATTAATATAAGTGGTGTCATGTTTATTCCGACAAATGAGTTTTTGTTTCCCATCTTCCATCTGCTTATGTTCTTGGAAAACAGCTAATCAACATTGCATTCTGAGTTTTCAAAACATGTTAGAGTTAATACAATATGTTTGGCATGATTGACTAATAATATTAGACGGGATAATAAAAATATTGTTTAGTAAGACGTCTAGACATGACATTTTCAAATAGAAAATTCTAAATAACTCTGTCCTACGCGGTGGATTATGTTTTCTTCTTCTTTAATTCTAAGCAATCTTGTCTGGTCTATCATCCCAAAAATTCAATGATGTTTATTTATTTTTATTATATTTGTTAATTATCTATTTCCTATGTAAGTGTATACTTGAAAATCGAAATATAGTATTATACTGAATGAATACCATGACCAAAATTTTTAACTTTTTTCTTTATTATTTTCTAGTACTTAATAATCGATTTTACCAAGCATGCAATGATTGAAATCCCTCGTACTATTGCTTCTAAGTAATTAGTACTATGTATATGAAAAACATAGTTTAAAATTAAGTATATTTTCATCATATTAGTAGTGGTTATCTTCGATTATACGTGACATGTTGACAAATGGTTTCAAATTTTATGTCAGCTACACAATCTTTTTGCAACTTTATTCGATTCAACATTATATATACTTTATCTAACATTACAGCAAAATATAATAAAGAAATGTTCCATTATTGTGTCTAATAGCATTCAATGCATACAAAATATAATGTACATCTATGTGCAATGCTTAGAGTAGCCTGGTTTAGTATATTCACCTACAAAATAAAGCTAGGAAGATTTAAATTTTGTTTACAGAAATCCGAATGTCTTTCAACATCAAACAATTTAAACCATAATTTCTTTATCCACAGTCAATTTTATTTACGTCATAATTTATAAGCAGTTTTTTTTTTTTTTAATAATAATGTTATCTTGCACCACTAGTATTATTATACCTGTTTAACCGATACCATGTGATATGCACAATGAAATGTGAAATTAAGTAACTCATTTAATTTTGCTTCTCATTTAATGTCGCACTAGTATCGTGTTTTAACACTAGTTATGTTAAATAGCATTATTATTATTATTATTATTATTATTTGCTCTTTCTTCTCTCTTCCCAATAGGTCTTCTCATTTATCTTATATTCTCTTACAATTTTGCAAATTCCAAAGTCGGGCACGATCAAGCATCGTTCGTAAAAGTTAATAAATTTTTTAATCTTTAAATTCAACCATCCCTATTTTACGCCTTAATTTGAGCACCATTATCCATAGATAATGATTTTTTAAGGGTCATAAGCTCAAATTTCGAGGTTAATGGGTAAGCTTAAAGGGATTATCCTTCTAATGGTTCAATCTTTGTCGTAGGAAGGCAAGCAAGACCTTGTTAATCTCTTTCATTAAATGTATAAAAGTCTAAATGACACCATAATCCTTAACTAATTCATAAAGCAAAGTTATGTGTTTAAAAGCAAGAATAATCGAGAAAAGAAATCAAGGAAACCATAATCCTTAACTAATTCAAATTTCTTAATTAAAGGTTGAAATTGAAAAGTGGCTTTCCAACGTTGCATGGATTACTCTTTCCTTTAAGCCAAATGTTAGGTGTGCTTTTTTTTTTTTTTTTTTGTTTGTGTTAATTTCCATCATCTTTTCTCACATGTTTACCACTTGTTATTTTATTTTATTAAGTCAATGTTTGATTCCCATTTCTAGAAAAAATTATTATTATTATTTATTTATTTATTTATTTATTTTACAAATTCATTTTCAACCAAACATTTATAAGTGATCCACAATTTTTATCAACTTTTAAACTACACATTTCATCGATTCTTCATAAAATCTACTAAAAGATTTTTAATAAATTCAAATAGGGGCTAAATTAAGCAATTCTTGAAAAATTATATACCTGATTATGTGCCTGAAATGTAATGGAATTTTATCATGAAACTACATCTCTTATGTGAGAAACACATTCTGCTAGAGCTAGAAAATTATTTATTTATGCAATAAAATCTCTTTATAATCAAACTGTAATTAGGACCAAACTAATTATTACTATGAGTATGTTACAAGTGATATATTAATAATTAATTAACTAAAAGTATAGACATTAATAAAAGAGAGAGATTTTTGAAATTTTAATTCATGTATAGTTTAGAGTATGTAAAGTCTCATCTTAAACGTCTATAATTTTACATTCACGCTGACAACTTCAGAGAAGTGTTTATTTCATCTTAAACCTTTAATGTAACATAATACAATATATTTTTCTTCTATATACATATAGTCATGATAATGTGGATTTGTTCTTATTTATAAATAGTTCAAATTGGACCAGTGTTATGTTTTAATGTAATTGGCGATTTTATGAACAAAAAGGACCGAATTGAAAAAAATGTAAAAGTCGCGAATTAGTTACAATTTTGTATAGTTGTGTTTGATAGGTTAGGGCTCAAGCTCGGAATAAAGAAAGAAGAATCGCCGCAATTTCGCTTGCCTCTTGCCAACACATTGTTCGAGCGATAAAAATAAAATGAACTTCGTTAGCTTGTCTCCAGGACATCACTCGAGCAAAACACTATCACTTGCTTTTCACTGGCGTGTCGCTCGAGTACTAGAAAACCCTAATTTTTGATTTTCTAGAATTTTAATAGGATTATACTACCCAAAATGTCCTTTATATAAATACTTGTGCCGTTTCACAAAAAATCTTGAATTGATCATTGTGAGAAAACATATACCCTATTCCTATATTATTCAATACATCAATCATTGAGATTGGCAATTGAAAAGCATCAAGACCAAAAATTCAAAAAAAAAAAAAAATAATAATAATAATAACAATAATACTTCTAGAGTATCTATCAGAGGTTGAAGATCAAAGAAGGTGACCGAGTTAGATTGTTAGAATCTACAAGAGATAGACTAAATCAGAAAGCCGGGAGTTGATACAGGAGCACGCAATTCAGGAGGGCTTTGGGAATTACAGTCAGAAGGTCATAAAGTACTTGTGTTGGTTGAGTTTGACGGTACTGTAAGTTGATTCGTTTATAGTAGATTCATACTGGTTTGGACCAAGAGTTTTTAATCCCGCGAGAGGTTTTCTCTATCATCAAATATCCCGTGTTCTTTATTTTCAAGCAATTTATTATACTAGAGCAATTCAACAAAGGGTGGATTGCAAGTGAATTCATTTTGACTAATTAATAACTATGACGAATAGCAATTGTTAATTAATTTTATTAAATTCCGTGCAAACACCTATTCATCCCCCCACCAAGTGTTTTTTGGGTCAAGCTGCACAACTTTCAACCAGAATTATTTTCGACTAAATAGTGGTTATTTCTATATAGAGTATCAGTTAGAGATATGTTACCCTTTAATTTGTTAACGTGATTGATTTTGTTTTGTCTTTTTAGGGTGATTAGATAAAATATGCACATGATGAGTTGTTTATCAATTATTGGGTTCTATTAAATAGATTACTAATCAAAGTTTAGTTATAGTAATGCTTGTCAAATGTTTCCCGACAACTCAAGCCTGTTTCCCATCTTTGAACTGCTTGCATGCATTTTCTGTTAGGCATGGTGGAAAATACTAATTAAATTGGATTAAAGAAAGAAAAATCATTCAAATCATATTCATTATGTTGTTGGGGGGCGGGGGGGGGCATGGGCTATCGTTCGACACTGCACATTAAATGTGAATTTCCGCCAAAATCATGGGAATTGAATTGTCTAAAACTTATTTTTTAGGAATTGTCAATTAAATATGTTTGATTGGTATAATTTTTCACCGGAAAAATGTTGAAATTCTGGATCTTTTGATTTTCGTTGGGCTTTGTCTTTCATAAAAATTGTCAATTAAAGGGATAGAACTTGTTATAATTGTGGATAGAATTTGTTTCTATTGTAAAAAAATAAAAAAAGTAAAATAAAATAAAAAGAACCTGGAAAAGTGAATTTCCGCCAAAACCATGGGAATTGGAATCCCACAAAATCAAGGAAAATCGGTCAAGTGGGGGTGGGGTTGGAAAATGAATTGTCGGGAAAATTTTTGCAATCAAATAACCAAGAAGGTGGACAATAAAAATTTTCATTTTTCCATGGAAATTTCCTCCTATCAAACAGGCTCTTAGTGTGTTGATAGAACAACACATAGTATTGCAGTTTGACTCGTGACATAAAATATCAAGAATTGGTAGAATTTAAAACAATTTAGGTGATTTGTGTAATTATAAATTTTCGAATAATTCTAAGGTGGATGGGTTGTAAGATAGAGAATCTCATATACAACAATAATTTTGATCACATTTCGACCATCTCAATTATATGTGTCGATGATGATGATGATGATTTTTATTATTATTATTTTTAAACCGTTAGCCTCATACTATGTTTCGCATTGTTAGGCAAAACTGCTGTTTCTCCCAGTTTTCTCAAAGATAATGGTGTTGGTACCGAATATACGTACGAGAAGATAACACACTAAGAAAAGGATAAATTAATGTATTATTATAATTTCATTTCTAACATTTCCTGATTTTTGAGTGTCAATTACTGTATTTGCAAAACAAAATGAGTATATGAAGTTAGAGTCTATTTTTCATAAGTAGAATGATAGAAGCGTACATTTTTACATAGTGGGATTTTATTGGTATTATAGGTCTTTTTAAATCCATGTTAGACTAGTCGTTTTTTATTGAATTAAATTAATTTTGAAAGGTCTTCCTCTTATAATAAATTAAAATCTAATAGCTATGTTACGACAAATTTTCATATTTTCAGTCATTAGTAATACTGAAACACTAACCAGAAATCAGGGAGAAAATATGTACATTCATTGGTCATTATCTACATATCAAATGCCCTTAATTTACTAATAAATTATTTAATTACATATCATAGACTTTAACCCATTCCAACCCATTTATATAATCATTTTGTGGTACGTAAAGGACATTTTCTAATCCCTCCATTCCAAATCCTCCCAAAAAAGTTGGCTCCAAAAGCTCCATTGAAAACGATGAACTTGGACTGTTGATGCTTGAAAATCCATCTCCACGTTCAAGTAGTCTTTGTATCTCCTTTTCAGCTTCAGAAACTTGTTCCTTCAGCGTTAATACCTACACGTAAAAATTATTGTTGGTACGTAGTACTGGACAGGATTGAGAACAATAGAGAGATATACGTACCTCGTTCTCGAGCCTACATTTCTCTACCACAGTGCAGTCATGTTTGGCCTTCAATTTAGAGTACTCTTCCTCCAATTTCTTGCTCTTCCACCGAGCCCGTCGATTCTGAAACCAAACTGCAACCTGGCGGGGGTCGAGTCCGAGTTCAGATGCAATTTTCTCCTTCCTTTCAGACTCCAACTTCTGCTCATTTTCAAAACTCGTCTCCAACAGATTCACTTGTTCTTGGCTTAACTTCCTCTTCCCGGCCGCCTCACTTCCGTTTCCGCACTTACCTTTGCTCTTCTTTCGTCGGCTCTTCTTCCGCGTTTTCTCGATACCTAAATATCATCACAAAATTCTAGTTTATATACAGTACTCGAAGACACTAAACAAAGGTATGCTATGTGCAATAAAACTAAAAAGCTATAATTAAATTCTTTCTTGCTTAATCAAGCCGACAACAAAATAATACAGTCCAGTCGAGTATGCTACAAGAAGACATGACAACATAATCAAATGCATCCATAATCTTTTCTTGGAAGCAGTACTAACCTTCTTCTTGGACCACTTGGCTGTAAATTTCAGGATAGTATTGAGCAATCAAACCCATTTGATCACCGTAAAGGTTCATATTTTCTAGGGTGCCAGTGGATAAATGTCCTAGTAATGAATTATAAGTTACTAGGACTTTTACTTAAAAGCTGGAGTGAGAGAGAGGGTGGACTGAATTTGGGACTTAAAGGCTTTATTTATAGAGCTGTCACTTAAAAGAAACCTTGGTCCCTTCGGAATTATCAATAATGCCATTTGTCCCAAGTATGAAAACATATAGAGATTCAGTTAATTAATGGTGGGCGTGGAGTGTATCAATTTCTTGTACCATTCAAATTCTGTTTATATCCTGTCAAGATTATCCAAACAAAAGGAAACACGTGTAAATGTTAGGCACACTAAATTAAACATGATTAATGTGAAGAAAATAGTGTTAATGAACTTATCCTAGTTCAGAAGACGAACTTAATTAAAAAGAACTATGAAACATTTTGTTATACCAAACATGTCTGTATGATATCGAGTACTAAATAATTCAATTAATTTTCATTTTATCTTGCAAGTTTGAGTTATCATTATCATTTTGATGCTTGTTGGTGTCACATGATGTCCAAAGATTTTGGATTTTTAGTTTGTGAATGTAACTAATAGCCTCATTATTAAAGTCTCATGATTAATTAATTATGTACTAACCAGCCTATCATAGACTAATTATGTAACTAATATCATTTATTTCCATGTGCATTTCGTGTTTATATTCTTTACTTGGGATTGGGTAATATGAGGTTAGTATATTCTTGATCTATTTAACAAACATTGACCAGTCTAACGGACAAGATACAAGACGTTAGACATATTAGGTGAATTCAATTTTGCCACTCTCCATCTCTCATCTATAGATACTCTATATGTGACGGCCTTCGACAATAAATAGAAATTTGCTATTTATACAGGAAACATTGTTTTGAAGCTCATTACATAAACAAATTTTGATTCATATGAGAAATATGTGTGGTTCTTTGGTCTGCAAGTCTTAGCTTCGTCAATTCAATAGATCATCAAGTTGGTTGAATTTAACTCTTTGTTTTGTCGGAAAGGAAACAAACTAAATGAAGGTCATTTTCAAAATGGGGAAGTTAATCCTTTGGAGTATAAATTAAGAATTCCTAATTGACGAAAAAAGTTTGAAGGCAACTTTTTTTGTTTTTTTTCCCCTCACTTTAACTATTAAAAAGGCCTCTTTCAAAACTCATACATTTGACCTCAATTTTATTACACATAAAAATAGATCATCAAGTTGGTTGAATTTAACTCTTTGTTTTGTCGGAAAGGAAACAAACTAAATGAAGGTCATTTTCAAAATGGGGAAGTTAATCCTTTGGAGTATAAATTAAGAATTCCTAATTGACGAAAAAAGTTTGAAGGCAACTTTTTTTGTTTTTTTTCCCCTCACTTTAACTATTAAAAAGGCCTCTTTCAAAACTCATACATTTGACCTCAATTTTATTACACATAAAAAATATTTTTAAATAATTTTTTATTTTCAAATGTGTTTGAGTGAGCTACGTTTTTCTTACTTTTTAAGGAAAAAAGTTGCTTACTTTCACTCATATGTTCATAGAATTGTTCAAGTTAGTGGCATACTTTTGAAATTCAAACATGTATTAGATAAGTCACGCTTAGCACGAATATAATTAACTACGATAAAAAAGTATTATGAACAAAAGTAACATTCATGTATCTTATCCAAAATATAGTAAGTGTCGCATTAAAAATAAGATTAATTACCTAACTCTAATTACAAAATTGAGAAATATGTATATGTAATAAATTATCAAAAAAGTTGGTGAATATATTATCAATAGTTCGATGCAATGAAACTTAGTATTTTATAATGCATACTAAACACGCACTTAACAAGAGACAAGAATATGAAACTCATTCTCTTTTCAGCCACCTTTGGAGTCACGTCTACTTAGTGATGGCAACGAGGTGGGTTCGGGGTGGGGCAGTTTTCTTGCCCCGTTTAATTATTTATTTATTATTATTTTTTTAAAATTTCGAGTTCAATAAAATACGGATAACATTCAAGCCGACAAAGTTAATATCCAAAATAAACACTACAAATCTTAAACATAATGGTCGCTATTGGTACACAACATTGATTATTAGGATGAACAAAGTTTTTTTATGTTTTTTTCCTTTAATATTGTCACAAAAGTTGTAACCCCACACTTTAATTTATGACAATATATAGATTTTCAAATTTGTTTAGTTGAACGTGTTATATCTTTTTATATTTGTTTTTATCAATATAATATTAATTTGACAAAGTAGTATAATTGTATATATAAATTAGTCAAGTTTGATAAGACTTGTATAATTGAGGATACTAGAAAATAAGTCATCATTTTATTTGAAGCAAGTTGAACCCTAACTTTTTATAAAAATAAAAATAAAAATAAAAAGGTCACGGGGTGGGTTCGGGACGGGGCATCCCCGCCCCGCCCCGCC